CAACACCAGGTCAACACTTTTATCACTCAGTTTCTCTCAGAAAATGTTTCCTACTTAAGTCTTGAATCTTAATAAATTCTTGTCGCATTGTTTTTATTTTTTGCGGATCCTGGGCGATTTGAATAGACAAACTTTTCTACACATAACAAAAATATGAAACAAAGAAAAAAATTCGTCCAACTCAGGGACCCACAGGGCAGCCATTACTATGACGCAAGACTTGGCATGATGTACAGATGTTTAGAGCATTTTTCATATTTGACGCACCAGCAATAGTTCTGGCAACCGAAGTAAGATTAGGATTTTTTCCTTAAATATTTCAATTTTAGGCACTTTTGTAGATAAATTTAAAATTAATTTCCCAGGGAAAGAGAGAGTATCCTGGGAGCGAGGTTGTACCGTTTATACTCATCCCCAGGGTCATCTCTGCTTTCAAGATGGTGGGCGGTTTATAGCGGTAGTTTAATTTAGTGGTAGTCGGGCATGAGATGTTTCTTGGTGAAATGATCGACGACCACCCAGACCGATCAAAGAAAAAAAAAATACTCGCAAAAATGGCTCGCACAGCTCGCACCAGGGCTCGCAGATTTAGCAGACCCGGCTGGTACCTTCAAAACAGGCAGAAGACTGATCTTGTGGCAGGGCAGTTTAAAGACTTCAAAGAAGATCAGTTTATGAAGACAGTATTGTATTTCAGTGGCCAAATAAAAATCATCCATCAGCACGTAAACAGTTTCTCTGCAAAGCAACACTCCTAATGTGTCTCATTTTTCTCAGAATCACATGATTAGTTACCAAATTTGGACAAAGTGTAACGCAAGCCTTTTCTGCGTGATCCATATAAAAAAAAATTTCCATGTGAGGAATTTAGTAAAGTTTAAGACAATCACAAAATTATTTGTGAAACTTTGTTTTCTTGTAATTTTTTTGTCTTAAAAAGTCAATCCAGAACAGTTTTGTCCAGTCTACTATCTGTTCTTGAAAGCTCGCATTTTCCTCAAGCTTTACTCTTAGAAGACTGTTTGCTTCTCAAAACTGATAGTGTCCACGGACAAATATCCAAGCATACTTTTTGCACCAAAGTAGGCTATTTTTAGTATATCTTACAAGAAATTATTAGTTCAAAATATCTTTACCTCACTGGTCATCATAATTAGAAAAACATTCTTTCTGACATCAGTGTTCATACGCTGTTTTCGTGCCAGTTCTAGCAGCTTGGAGTTTTCCATTTGAGTAGCAGACATTCCTTCAGATTTGTTGTCATGGCTTTCTGACAAGGCAGAACCCACAATCCACCAGCGACCTTGTGAATGGAAAGCAATCACTAATGAATATTATCGCTGGATGAGGATTCTGATTTGATCCTTTGTTTATTTCGAGAAGTCCTATTGTATTTATTTGGTTAGGAATACCAATTACAGATAAAAGCTGACAAAGTCTTTGTTGATAAGAAATACATAATAAGTTAAATACTTTCTGATTTATAGAGAAGGAAAAGAGAAATATGTAAGAGTCTACATAGCAAGGTTTCTTCTCACCCTTCGACTCTGCACTCAGTAACTCTGCTAAACTGATTTTCAATTGAATGCTGACTTGGTGACCTGAGCAAAAAAAAAATTAAAAGAAATTTAAAATGTAAAGGATGGTGCTAATGTTATTAACATGTACACATTCCATGCATCACAGAAGGCATGCATTACACGCCACATCCCTATCCCTGAAATATTACATCAAGCCTTTGTGCTGCCTTTTCTGCTTACTTGCTACATGTAGGTATTACAACATGATTACAAACTGTAATATCATGCCATGCTATTTTAAAGGGGAATAAGCTATGTCATTATTGAAACAGTGTGTAGCCATCTAACCATGCAAGGCATGTGAAGAGAATAAATAAAACTGTCAACTCCTGGGTAGAGAGAATTTGACAGAAAAATTCAAGTTTCTCCCCTGATTTTATTTTAGTAGTCATACCATAGCTTTGCCTGGATTTAATGATCTTGGGCATTTGGTGACCCCTACTTTTCTTTCCAGAAACGGATTTTATTTACAATTATCTCCAAATTGTCCAAAAATGAACAAAAAATCAAGGTGGGAAGTTAAAAAAATTTCAAGATTTCTGTCCATGGGACATCGAATCCTGCCACCTTTCAGCTGCAAGGCACATGAAACTGTGGTCGCTAAATGCGAACTTGTTCTTTAAGGAACCTCACCAGTTCACTAAATTCACTTAATAGGTCCACTTAGATAATATTTGGCAGAGAACATTTCACTTCAAAGATCTAATTGCAATATTTTTGGGCTTACGGACACAATGGCCTTATTCGCTAACGAAGCCCAATTTTTTCAGATTTAGGGTGTTCTTGCGGGCATGTTCTCTCCAAACTGAAGTCGTTGACTCTCCATTTTTTGACATTTCTGACATAACTAACTGATCATCTTACGGTGGTAAACGTCTAAGAAAAAAATCAATGCTGGAAAATTTTTGCGCAAACATCCTTAAATTGTTATTACTGTTATTTAATTAATCTAGTTTTAAGCATATAAGCGATTAATGGCCCTCCTAGATTAGCACTTGCTATCTGTGGGCCAAATAACGTAATTTTAAAATGAAGGAAAATAAAGATTATTGTTGTTGCCGTTGTAGTTTAAATCCAGTTTTCATGGTCATTTACTACATAGAAATATACCAATCAACTTACCTGACTCTCTAATAACTGAACGCAGATTTTTTCTGAGATGTTCTACTTTTGAAGGATCATAGCCTGGTATCTTTCTCAAGTTGTTGCTACGTAGGTTTGTAATAATTTCCAACATAAAGCGAACTCTGGAACTAGAGAGCACAAAACCAAACATTCTCAGCTGAAACTGCTAAAGACACTCAAAACAACTTCATACCAACTTACATGTACAAGTTTTTATTATGATAATGAGTCATATATTAAAGTGTCAATTTTTCACTTCGATAACTACCAAGCTTTCTTCCTGTCATATCTCTAACTATGAAATACATGTAAAATATAGAAAATATCAAGGGAAGTAGCCAGGAAAGTGCTTAAAGGAGATACCGCTAACTATGCTGTCTTTGGTTCCTATTATTGATTCCCTCAGAAATAACTGTTACTAATAATAGTAATAGGGTTGATATTCTTGGGTGTACAGTGTAAATATGTTTTTGGCCCTTCTCATGGCTCATTTAGCCAGCATGGGCTACAATGAGCCTGCATTGGGCCAAAAACATTTATACACAAGAACATCAACTCCAAGGCAGGGAAAAAAAATTGAAATCCATTTGCCCAGTGGGCCAGTAAATTTCAGTTTTAACTTGTCCCCACTTAAATATTACCTGCCAACGTGGTGGCCACTATGGCAATCAGAGGACAAACACAGACAAAGTATGCATCTATTACTAAGTAATCCATGCTTTCAACTCAATAGCTTCTGAATGGAAATTGACATTTTCATTCAGACTCACAAGACTACTGAGGCTAATTTCACTTGTCCACCCACAGGGTCACTGAACTTCTATTTTCAGTTGTCTTTTCCTGCAATGATCTCTCATCATAACAATTTTTCTTGAAAATTTATGTAGCTCACACTCTTGATATTCTTCAGAGAAATAGGAGTTCTGTGAAAGGATTACACATGTACAAGTGCTATTATCACGTGTGCATTAACTTGATGTGGGCAACAGTGCCACATGTGAATCACCTCTGTGTGAACTCCTTCCAAAAAATTGTTCCGATTTCCTGAATTTATTTTGGTCTAGCAAAAGGGACAGTTAGACTTATTGTTGGGAACTTATTAAATATTTCAAAGGCATAAAAGCAGTTGTGTATACACTGTACAATGTACTTTACTTTTATGTTCACTTGTTTACTATATTACAATATTACTATATACTATATTGTTTACTATATTCAGTCCATATATTGTGAGATAATTATTGTGGCTGCAATAATCTAGTATTTACAGGAGTCTGCAATGCAAAAACTGTTATTCACATTGAGACTGGGGTTAGCCACAAGCATTAATTACTGTAACATCGTTTTGACAAACTTCAGTTTCAATGCTGCAATATTCTGAGGCTTGGAAGCTTCTCACCTTCTCATTTCCAAATTATTATTCACTTCATTCACTTCACAGGACTGCATGATTTTTGTAAATCTTTTTGTCAGCCACTGAATTAAAACATTTTTCACAGCTATCATTCACGGCTGTATTAAGTAGTTAGAAAATGGGGATTCTGGGACAACACATGTCCTTCCATTTTCTTATACGTTCCCTGCCTTATGACTTTTGTTTTCCAAAAATCAACCACAAAAAAATGGGGATTTCCAAATTTAAAAAAAAAAAAGACCAAAAAAAATAAAATTTTACATTCTTTTCATACAACCCCCTCCCTTATGATTTTTTTCAAACAACCTTCATTTCCAAATTTTTCAAATATGCATTAAATTTAAATATCATATATTTGAATTTGGTTCATCTATCACCAAATAATATTTCAAACAGGTGGTAACTCAGTCCCCCTTGGAACCACCATCAACTCCTCACGAACTAATCCACGTTTTGGACAATCCTTCAAATAATAAAGACCAGTTTCACCTTCTTCACTATTGATTTTTCAATATTGAATACTTTTAATGACTAATTCAGATCCGTGTCCCTTTTCTAACCTCCTTCAAGCCCACCAGCAGAATAGATATATCCTATGTTCACTGAATAATCCAATCTCTTTTCTTTACAACCAACAAGCCTTGAGAAACTCGTTGAACTCTTTGCGGTAACCACCCTCTCTCTTATCGTATCAATGGGTCTCTAGTCAGTCAAATGAGTCACTTCATTATTCATAGCTTTCATGACTTCTGGAAGCCTCTTCACCCATTCTCCGGATCTCTCAGAAGATTTCATATTCATTTCTTGATAGTATTGATAACTGAAGAGATGTTCACTCAATGGGCGATTGAAACGTTCAACTATTCCTTGATCACTGTGAACATTCACATTTCCCGTTCTTATTCTAACATTATGCTTTGCCATTTCTTTTTTTACATCACCCATGAATTCACGTCCGGGATCAACCTGAAGAGCCAAGGGCCAATTCAAAGGTCCTGGTATATAAATTATCTGATAAGCTTTTGAAACTTCCAAAGACTCTTTTGAAGTGAGTGGTTCAGCAGCCTTGAATCTGCTTGCGATATCAACAACCGTCAATACGTACTTGTAAACCTTTCTACCTCTTGTGAGTTTGTCATGAGGAAGGAAGAGAAGATCAGCTTGATGAAACGAATTTACAGATGTAACAGCAAAAGTGGGTCTCGGGATATACTTCAGGGCCGGCAAATAAATCTGCCAGATGGCCTGCTTCATCAGCCAAAATTTTGCAACATCTTCAGAAACTCCCGTTTCCTGAGCCAACTTCTTAACAGCCTCCAATCCCTTCCAAAAACCTTTGGGACTGTAATAAATCTTTGATAATTTTTTGAACTCACACATTTTTGTTACAAGAAATGACTCATTGCCAATCCGATTGCCAATGCTCCTACTCCAACGTAAATTATCTCTCCCTGTTTTTATTGAGCACTTGGCTTGTAAAAGTCTGAAAAGTGAGGTTCTCTCAAATCAAGTGAATCTTGATGAGTCTTTTTGTAAAGTTTTAAAGCATAGTCAGTGTTTTGGAAATTATGTTCGGCTTTATCTTTCATTTTATCATTAGTAGCAATCCAATCGAGGTTTGTTTGATTTTCTTCATACTTCTGATATTCTTTTTCATATTTTTCCAAGGCAAGATCATGACGCTTCTTTTCTTTGTCAGCCTCAGATTCTCCACTCAAATACCTCGCCAAATACATTCCTGTGATGAATGCTGTTGCATTTATAATCGCTCCTCCAATCATTATGCTATACTCGCCATTTTGTTAATATCGATAATAGTTATTGATATTAATCTATTCATCATATTCTATTTCAGAATCAACTGTAGAAGTAATCGCATCTTGAATTTCTTTTCTTAATATAATCATTGCCGCTTCAACAAAACTGTGATAACACTTAACATTTAATTTAACATGGCAAAATCTTTTGATCTTCGAGATATTGTTTAACAGCGATAGAAGCCGCGACTACCACCATGAATTTCACATAATTCATTATATTCACTGAAGGATCGGAGGTCAGCGGCTCTTTGATTACTTTCTTTGCCACCCATTCATATCCAGCTGCCAAACCGGTTATTGTCGCGGCTTCAGTCAATGTTTTTACGAGCTTATTATCAGACGTTTTAGTTAGGGAGAATAAACTTCACTTGCTTCACTAATCCATGGCTTCGCTTCTCACTGGAACTTTTATATCTGACTCTCTAACTTCAGGCAGCACTTTCTCTATCTCTGTAGGTTTAACGAGAGACATAAACTCTTATCTCTTGTAATATAATCTCGCGAGAGAAATAACAATACCAACTATTGAAAGAACTTGAGTGAGTGAAAACGATGAGGGTTCAGATTGAGTTTTTTTTCTCACTATCGTGTCCTGTCTCAATATTAATATTATTTTTTTCCTGATGCGCTTGTTCTCTTACTTTTCTGTTGAATTCTACGAGTCTCTTTGCTGTTTGAACTGACTCCCTGGATCTTCTTTGGGTTTTGTTTTTTTAACAGTCAATGTCACTTTATAGGCTGGTTTCTTTTCAGCAGTTTCTGCTGGTTCTTCAATGGTTTCTACAGGTTCTTTAGTAGTTGCTTCTGGTTCTTTAGTAGTTTCTTCACTATCCATTTTATATATATATTTTAAGTTCTTATCTAAGTTCTTCAGAACTATTTTCTAAGTTCTTATCAAGTTCTTCAGAAGTATTTTTTGAGTTCTTATCAAGTTCTACATTCTTTGCAGTGAGAAGGCCAGCACTCATTATTGCCATATACTTTCCATAATTTAAACTCAATCTTCCAGTGATCATTGAGGGTTCTCTTTTGGCCATGAAATTGCCATTCAAGTCTTCCAAAAGTTTACTTTGATCAATGGGAAGAATGTAGGCAACCAGTCTGCGTAAAAGCTGAAGAAATGTATGAACCATTGCATCACAAGTCTTTGAAGACAATGAAGTCTCATATCTTTTGAAATACTTCTAAACATCTTTTTCAGAAAGTCTCTTGACTTGATCTTGAGTAAGTTCAATTCCAGTCATCTCCTTAACTCCCCCACTCATGACCAGAACTGCAAGCTGTTCTCGATGATCTGTAACACTTGAAGGTTCAGCTTCAAGAATGCTCATTACATCTGTGATTTCACTGATCGCTGTGCTTGCTTCTTGCTCATTTATTTCCATTTTAATACTCAAGACTAATATCAAATGGATGGCGAAGTGAGAATATGAGATGTGAATATTTCTTTTTCTTCAACTTATTGATCAATTTTGACATATAAATAACTTGTTAATCCTGTGCGTAATTATCAAATATCTCTTATTTGTCTTTCTGAGGTGTATAAAACAGAACCAATACAGCAATATTCTCATGGAATGGTTTAGCAATGCTCATCATCTGCTGTGTGAGAACCCAGACACTGATTCCACTATGTCTCATGCTAAATGCTAAGTTCACGAGTTCATTCGTCCTCTTATTGACATCTCTGGAGGCGGTGCAATTGCAATCACCCTCAAACACATAACTCACTATCTTCAACCAATCATTGATTTAATCTTGGTCAAGAGTGAGGACGAAGAAATCTCGATCATCTTCAGCGAAACTTTCATAAGTTTTATTTAATATATAAGTAGGGCACAGAGGGATTATGTAATCAAACTTCCCTTTGAACTCGTTACTCAGAAGGTCAACG